ACCAGCCGTGTCTGTGTGGACGCAGCCTCTCCACGACCGAACAGCGACACCTCGATTATTCCTAGTCATGCTGTACAAATATTGATGTGATCCTCTTTGGTCCGTGTGTGTGTGTGTGTGTGTGTGTGTGTGAGGGCCATTTCCAACAGCAGGACACTTGAACAAATCCCCGCAGCTCCAGTCACCGCGGAGCTGCGTGGGTTTTGTGCGTTTCCCTCCACGGCACTTGATCACGGACGGAGTGTAATGAGGAAAACTGTTGCCATAAACACATGCAAATAAACACGAGTTCATAAATAATAATGATGACAACATCAACGACACACGGGTGTTCGTGTGTGCGCGTGGAAGTCACTATTTATTTATATATATATTATATTAAATAAAATGTCACCTATTTTTATCCACTGACTGAATCAACAACAAGATTTTAAAACATTCACTGTTCGTTAATCCAACGTTTTCTACCTTCTGTTTTCTTACTCATCATATTTTGTTACATTTTACAAAAAAACAAAACAAAACAAAAAATCAAATTTTGTAACCAAGACATTTTTTTTTTTGCTTCATCTCCATTAAAACCACGACGGCTGCAGGTTCTTCAACTTGTTTTGTTTTTCTATGATTAAAACACAAGCGCAGGTCACGGGTTTCTTACCTTCCAAAGGGAAGCCGGTTCGGGGGTAGTTCTGTCCCGGCGCAGGGCGCATCATCCGAGGCATAGTTCCCGGCAGAGCAGCCATCCTCACGATCACCAGACAAAAATCTGTCCAAACTAAATCCAAGTGAAAACCCGGAGTGTTTTTCTCTAAACAGCTGCTCTCGGTGCCGTCGCTTCCTGACCCCTGGTGTTCGGGACGCGGGTGATGGAGGAACCAAACTTTTACCCACGGAAGTGGAGGAGATACAGCAGAAATGTGTGCGTGGATCAGCCGGACTGTGGTGGTGCCGCTGGCCTCGGTTTGATTCAGTGGATGGATGGAAGGACTTTCACCGTCCAACTTTGTTGCATGTTGTAGGTGGAGACGGCCGCGCGCTCTCATAGGCTCCGCGGCCTTTCTTTTATGGATGAAAGCGAGTGGGTTTAGCCCGGAGCCCGTGGACCAATCAGAGGTAAGCATTCCGCTTTTAATTCACTGCCGCCTCCTTCATAAAAACACCGACACACACACACACACACAACCAGAGTTAAATGTTATTAAATATTTTTTTCGTAAATAAACTTCTGATTTATTTCATCAACTTTTTTTTCCAACATTGAATCAGTGAAGAAACGGCTCCTTTTTGAGGCCTGTAAAAATACGATTTTAGTTCAACTTCAATAATAAAACAAAGCCGTGAATTATTTACAGCTAAAGAAAAAAAACAATGACACGGTTTTATTATTATTTAGAAAATAAATCGTAAAACAAAACATTCCAAACCGAATCGTGCACAGGTGCGTGCGTGGTCGTGTCTGTGTATAATTCACACACACACACACACACTGGGTCAGTGGTGGAGTCAGAGTTATGGGATGTTCTGTCTGAGAATTTACTGCTGCAGCTTCAACAGACGACACTGGTTGGTTTTTTTGTTTGTTTGTTTCTTTTTTTTCTTTTTTCTTTGTTAACCTGTCGATTAATCGTATGTGAGTCTAATGACTACAACATTTTTTGTGTCACCAGTACAACAGTGGTTCGACCCACAACAGGTTGGGTTGACTTGGCCCGGACGGCACACACACACACACACACACACACTTCACACGGGTAATTACTTAAAGGTAATTGTTAAAAAATGACGCG